ATATGCACAATAACAGTGCAAAGTGCCTGACATGTTACTTCATTGATTTCTAAGAAAAGATGACAAAATGCATTTGCAGACTGCAGAGTTTTAGGTTAACTGTTCATGTCAGGATAGGCTTAATGAAATGGGAGCTATCTCTGCAAAAAAACACACACTGAAGTGAAGCTGTAATGGTTTTTGGTTAACTTTATGTCAAAAATGTTTTAGAATGTTTACAGGTTTATTAACTGTTTTTAATTATGGATGCACCAACATGGCTGCCGAAAATAGGGTTATCGGCATTTTGCCGATAGAAAAAAAAAGTGCCAATAATGGCATACTGCATCCCATAGACATCGATGCAAAATCGTGTCTTATTGACTTCCAATGCAAAAACGCCCCGTAGCGGCTTCAATGCAAAATTGCGTCCCATTGACTTGAATGGGAAAAATGCCCCCCATAGACTTCAATGCAAAATCACGTTCCATAGACTTCAAAGCAAAATCACATCCTATAGACTTCAGTGCAAAAATGCAAGTCACATTAATTAAGGCTAGGTTCACACCTGTGCAGTTTGTGTTTGATCCATTTCTGCAGTGCTTTTTTGCCAGCTTTTTGCTGGGCAGATTAAAACGCATCAAACATTGACTGCATGCATTTCTGCAGCGTCTCCATTGAAGTCTATTCAACCAAAATGCAACATTTTGCGTTTATAAAAGTCCCTGACCCTTTCCAAAACACACAGTGGGTGAAAACATGGAGATGTGAACGTGTACCACAGAAAATCACGTTAAATGGACTGTAGTGCATTTCTGCACTAGGTGTTAACCTAGACTAAAAATTTTTTCAAAACTGTCTTTCATTTTTGGTTTTTGGCCAAGTGTATCCTGCATTTTCGGTTTTGGCACCTTAATTTTCATTTCAGTGCACCACTAGTTTTAATTTTAAGTTTTGCATAGAGTGGGGAATGGTGACAACTTTTTTTAGGTCATCATTGCTGCTGGTTTCCCCTGACTTTCTGTCCCAGTAACATTCTTGGTCAAAAGAATGCCATGAACATGGCTTTAGCAGAAATAGTAGTTAATAACTGTGCATAACGTGTTTATACTTCTACTAAATGATAGTTCTAAATATGGTAAGAATAGTGAATCTAATGATACTTGAAAAAAAATGAGTTCCTTTACAGCAGTCTTAATAAGTAAAATTAATTTTCCTTGACAGTACATGGTGTTTAGGAAAGTGTTTTTCTGTAAATCATCTGGGCTGCCTCTCAACCATGAAAAGTCCTAATGAATTTGACTTTCCACTTGCTATCATACTTGGTGCACAGGAGAGAACTCGTTTGGTATAGTAAATGTGGGCTTGCTATATATGTGTATTCTCTGGGACCAAGTACTAATATCTTGTGAGCCTCTTGTTATCCTTTATAAGTCTTGTTAGTGTACAGTACATTATCTAGGTAAATACTGGAATCTTGGATGAATATATTTGCATGTGTTTCTCATTATTTGGTGCAGCAAAATTACATAGCTGCTGTTTGGGTGTAGAAGAATTAGAGTACTTCATGTTTATCAATTCAATGAAAAATATATTTTTAATGAACTGAACATTTGCTTGTGCAGCTGGTTTGTCCACAGATTTTTTATTCCATACTTAGTGTTGTCTGGCTTATTTCATTTTCCATAGCATGGAGAATAAACTTACTTGTTTCACATTTCTTTCAATGTCTTTGAAATCTTATAAAACTTCAGACTAGTAGGAATCAACATGCAGCTCCAGGCTGGGGAAAATTGAGGCTACAGATGTCACGTGACCCCCAGTTTGGGCTGCCATTTGCTATCGCTTTTCTTAGTAAAGAGTTGAAATTGACAGCTTGGAGTGGGCAGGGCAGGCTTTTCATCTGTTATTTTTTTTATTTACCCATTCCAGAGCTTTTTAAAGTGTTAAAGTATCTTTGTCATTTAAGGTCTGTTTAAATACACTGATACAGAAGCAGTAATGATAGCTTTTTAATTTCGCTTATCCATTGGTGAATTCTGAATTGAACAGACTAGCTTGGGCATAATTCAGGGATGTGCAAATCCTTTTGCTGGGCAGGCTGTTTTTCCTTACATTTAGCCCTGCTGCAGGCAAGCAGCAGGCCTTGCTTAAGAAAACAATTGATAAACTCGGGGACGGACAGGCTGCACGCTCAGTGTCTGACACTTGATCACACAACACACTTCCCCCCTCCCTCCCCGCATAGATGGGAGAGGAGAGAGATTACATTTTGCTCCACCTCTTCCCGCCCCTCTCCTCCGTAACTGCCCTGTGGGCGGGAGCTTTGAAGATCCATCCGGCTGTATGATTGCCAATGTCTGAGCCTGCAGAGAGCACCCTCTGATGAGCGATTTCTGCTCTATCACGGAGCTTGCCCCACCTCCTTCTTTCTCTGCTTATCTAACTCCCCCCTCCCTGTTCTTCCAGGAGCTTCACACTCAACCATTTCATGTTCAGTTAGCAGCTGAGCTCTGACTGAAGGGGGCACTCTGCTGAGCTCTGACTGAAGGGGGCACTCCGCTGAGCTCTGACTAAAGGGGGCACTCCGCTGAGCTCTGACTAAAGGGGGCACTCCGCCAGGGTCTGATGTAAGCAGGGACTCTGATATATAGGAGTAAAGATGGGGATTTTGATGTCCCTGGGTTTGGTGCTGGAGACAGGCAGGGAGGGGAGGAAGAGATAAACAGTGCAATGTTAAATATATAAAAAAATTTAGGTCGCCATAAAGCCCCTTTATTGTTTTTAAAAGCCCCAGACATTCCTAATATCACCTCCTCATATTACTGCCTAATAAAAAAAAAAAAAAAACATCAGCCTTTCATATTTTCCATCCTTGCAAAGTAATTTCATGATTTAAAATCCCTAGTGATAAAACTATCATTCAGTAATAGTATAAAAATAAAGACCTTATTTACATACGGTTTTGGTTAAAAAAATAATTCTTATAAGGAAAGTAGATTGTCATAAGGGACAAGTAGTTTGGGACCCCGATTTAGTCCCTTGGACAAGTAGTTTTTTAAAACATTTCCACATCCCTGCATATGTTTGTGTTCTTATTTTTATGGTTTTCAGGATGTAAGGGCAAAAAGGTTTGCCAGATAGCTGCTACATGAGTTTTTAGAGCCAGTTGTTTTACTGTAAAAACTCTAGTTAGGGTTGTTGGTTATTATAACAGTACAAAAAATGGCCACTGCCCCAGTCTATAACTGGCCTTAACAACAAGGAGCACATGGAAGGGTGACGCATGTCAAACAACAACATAGAAGATTATAATATTATATTTAATATAATAATTGGAGAGTTAGGAACTACAGAATACTGGGGTGATGTGACGAGGATCTGTAACTTGCGCATGTATTTGCAAATGTGTGCTAACTAAACCCGTTTTTAACGCATAATGTTAGACAGGTAAATTCGGTTTGTTTTCAGACTGGCTGGCAAGTTAGAGCTGGTAATTTTTCTTTTTTGTTGTTTGTCAGTTATTATCACTCTCCAGAGACTCCAGTTTCCTCCCACACTCCAAAGATATGCTGTTAGGTTAATTGGCTCCTGTCTAAATTGGCCCTAGTATGTGTATTTTTGAATTTGAGTTAGGGACCTTAGATTGTAAGCTCCTTGAGGGCAGGGACTGATGGGAATGTGCCATATATGTGTAGAGCGCTGTGTAAATGTGTAAATTGACAGTGCTATATAAGCACCATAATAATACTACTACCACCCCTCTCTGCCAGTCCTCCACTGGCTTCCGATTGCCCAACAAATTAAATACAAAGTATTAACAACATACAAAGTCATCCACAACGCCCCCAGCTACATCACCAATCTTGTCTTAAAATATCACCCAAACCATCCTCTCCGCTCCCTCCAAGACCACCTGCTCTCTAGTGCTCTCGTCTTCTCCCATGCTCATCTCCAGGAATTCTCCAGAGCCTCTCTCATCCTCTGGAACTCTCTACTTCAATCTGTCTGGCTATCTACTACTTAGGCCACCTTTAGGCAATCCCTGAAACCGCATCTCTTCATGGAAGCCTGTTGCGCCTCCAACTAACAGCTGAAACGTTGACTCTTCCATCAGCTCATCCCCCACAGTTATAACCTTTTGTCCCAATTGCTTCACCCAATTAGATTGTAGGTTCTTATGTTCAAGGCCCTCTTAACTATCTGGTATTTTAATGTGTTGTAATTGTCTCCATTTAGATTGTAAAGTGCTGCATAAACTGTTGGCACTATCTAATTCCTGTATAATATTAATATGATTTTAAAAGTCAATCCATCAAGTAGTAATATTTTGCTTATAGGTAGAGATGGGTGTGTCAGCGCTGGACTTCTGACTTGTCTTCAAATTCACATATGAACTCTTGTCCATATGCAAGTTTTGGGTCTTCTTGTCCACCTTTTGTGTGTTCTAGCTCCTTCTAATCTGTATATCAGTAATATACCAAAAAAATCAAGTAGGGAGAGTGGGATCCCTTCTAATGTCTATAGTAGACCTGCAGATGAGGGAACTCAAACACAGCAGCTCCCAAATAGAGCCTTTCCAGCAAGAGAGGGAAACTGTCATCCTCTGCCAGAAACTGAAATACCTGTTTTGGATGGACAGACCCTTTATTACAGTGGTTAATAAAATGTAGAATACAGGTGTCAGTCAATGTCAAATGGTTCAATCCACGTGTTAAGACCCTAATACAGCTAGCAGAAATACACGTATCTGCCCTGGTTTCAGCTGTGACACGACAGAATTGGAAATTCTTCTGCAGATAGGTGCTCACATGTGCTTTTAAACTGTGAATTGGTTTGCCTGATGTTTTAAATTAATTATGTAATATAAATACACTGCTACAGAGGTATAGGAAAATCCATTTATAAACACAAAAAAACATTTTATAACTTCCTATTTAATGTATAGTCCCGTTGTTGTTTCTTCCGTATGAACATATTTCAAAGGCCATTGTTTCATAATGTTGCTCTTTTTCTTTCAGTTGTCAGCTCGATCTCTTCCAGTAGTGCAATCAGATGAAAGACTGCAGCCTCTGCTTAGTCACCTCAGGTATGTTTTCCATACCATTGTGTGCATAATGTTTAAGTTGTGTATGCAGCATGCGCTTTCCCTTTCATTTGTGATGGATGGGAGTCCTTGAATTTCTGGTGGTGAGTATGCGGTGTTTCTCTACTTTCTTTGTCTCTTTAGTGTGCACCCTGTGCTGTTGTACCAACTGTCCTACAGTTAATGTGGGTTGCATTTTGGGACATTTTTTTTATGTTTTCCTTTATTTTAAAGTGGTTTCAAAGGCTGAAGGTTTTTTACCTTCAGACATCTTATGCATGAAGATGATAAACCTGTGTGCAGCGCCCCAAATACTTAGCGATGGGCTTGAGAGCTGCAGCTCTCCCGGGTCTTTCCTGCTGCTGTCAATCACAGCCAGTAAGGAAGGAGTGGGGGGCGGGGGCCGAGACGCGTTCTGTGTGTTTTACGTACACACAGAGGCAGCTTGGGTACAAGCATGTAAGTGTGCCCCCAGAGTAAGCATCTTGTTCAGGGGCACTCAGAGGGGGGAAGGAGCCAGGTGCTCTGGTGGGGAACTTAGATAAGAAGGATCAGTGCTGCTCTGTGCAAAGCCCTTGCACAGAGTAGGTAAGTATAACATATTTGTAATTTTTTTTTTTTTTAAATCAGAACCTTTAGTATTACTTTGATCTATTTTCTTTAGTGACTGACTTGAGTGTGTTTTATGTGAACCTTATCAAATCATGACTTTACTTGTGAACCCTCAAAGCTGTAGGACATTTAGTTTAGTCCAAATATAATTTGAACCACTTAGCGCTTGTCTGATTTCTCAGGACTTTCCTGTGGCACTTACAGGATGCAACAGTGAAGTATGCTACCAATCTGTTGCATGCATTTATTACCTGTTAAGTTGTTTTTGTCTAATCAACAACCCTCTGTTCCTTGGTTATGCCAGATTTTTTTTTAATGTAAACACAATCTTAGTCAAAAGTGTTTTTAAAATAGTGTGAGACGGGATGGGGGGAGGGGCCTGAACATGGCGCTGTGAGCTTGTGAGGCAGAGGAGCTCTGGACGCCGGCGGTGAGAAAACTGCTAGACCGATAGGTGGATATCGCATTGACATCCCTCTGACATCTCACCGTCAGCCCATCCGGTCTGCCTTCTTACCTGGAGCCGGGCAGACAGGAGCAGAGTGAGGAAGACTGGCTCTCTTCTGTAGGCGAGGCAGCGGTTGGAGGGAGGTGGGTCAGACGCCCACAGGTACCCATGTGGCGGAGGACGCCAGGGATGCCTGCTGGTAGTGGAGGGGACAGGACGCCGGGGCTTCCTGCATCGGAGAGAAGCTGTCCAGCTCTCCAGGCTGAGGATAGGCAGAGATTAACTGTATGGACAGGACTCCTGGAGAAACAGCTCTGTACAGCACAGAACAGCCCAGCCTGGTACACTGATCCCTGGAGCTCCTGAAGGGATCAGTTACAGAATCCCAATAGAGGACAAACCCTGGAGGGATCCTTGAAGGGTCTGCAGGTGGACTTCCATCTTATGAGCAGTGACCCTGAGACACCCGCCAACACAGGATTTTGGGACTTGTTGAACTGAATCACCTCCCACCCAGGCTGCCTCACAAGGAGCCAGAGAGCCGTGCTTGGATGGATATAATGAGTTGCCGTGGACAACGGCTAAATATTTATATCAATATTACTTTATTGCTATTACAGGAGATTTAACCATCCGTGAGAAGGGTTTGGCCGTTTAGAAGAAGGCGGCACTGGGTGATCTCAGAAGGGCAAGGAAAGTGTACTCAAAGGAAGGTGATAATATAACATATCTGAGCAAATCTAACCAGAACTGTACATATGATGAGGAACAACTAGGAGGAGGGTCCTTTTACAAGAGCAATATATTTTTTTCTTCTTCGTATGCGAGTGGCGAGTACGGCACTCGCGGACAAGTTCAATTAACATGAGGAGTAGAGTTAGTAAGGGAGGAGGGGTAAAGACCCCACAGTTGAATGCAAATACAAGTACAATTAAGAAATATATGCCAATACAAGAAAAAGTCCTGAGATACAAGGTCCTGAGAATCAAAAGGAGAGAAATAGGAAGTCGGATGGAGAACAATCTAGACTGTCATTTGGAATCCGGGAGGGAAATCTGCCGAATGAATCCATAAACAATGAAAGTATGTTAAAACAAAACGTGACGGACCAACAGGGAGCGTTATCACAAATTCCTACTAAAAATTAGATAGTGGAAACGTTTGCAAAACTGGAATGCTCCATAAAAAATGAAATGACAGTGATTTATAAAGACCTAGGTCGAATGTTATCAAGAGTTGAATAAGTAGAAGGGAAAATGGAGGCCCAGGTTCAGCAGATTGTTAAATTGAAAATGTGAGTAGATGAGATGAAAAAGGAACAGAGGAAGTTATCATATAAACTAGAGGACCAAGAAAATAGACAAAGGAGAAATAATCTGAGGATCCGGGGCCTACCAGAGGATACAAGTGAAGAGTGTTGAAAAAGACCCTAACCAAGAAAACTAGGGGGGCTTTAGAGGTACCAAACCATAACAATAAACATAAATTAACCCCTTGACGCTGACGTAAATATGCGGCCTCACAGAATTGGGCTTTTTTCCGTGGGGCCACATATTTGCGTACCTGTCTTTGTGCTGGGAGCGTGATACATGACGTACTCCCAGCACAAAGACCGCGGGGACTTTGATCGCTGTGATAGCCTCTGACTGGCTATCACAGTGATCAGTCGCTGTACAACCCAGCCCCTTTGTTTTTTTTCTCTCTCTCTATGAATGGAGGAGAGAGATGCATTGTATCTCTCTAACTCCTGGCATAGAGGAGGAAAAAAATTTTGTAAAAAAAAAATAAAAATGATAAAATAAATAAAGAAATATTAAATGCCTAGATCAAGGTTTGATCTATTTCAGTGCCAGGGTTAGTGTTTGGGTCAGGGTCAAAAACAAATTGGTGTCAGTGTGTTTTAGGTAAAAAAAAAAAAAAGACCAAAACAAATGTGCACTATTGTTTCTAGGCTGTACTACAGGTACAAACAACAAATAACGTACACATATATGGTATTGCTGCGATCGTCAAGAGCTGGATAATTTATTTTGGGTTGTTCTTTGGTGGTAGGTTATGGCAGTAACAAGAAACACACAGCTAAATAATTTTTTTACTATTTTGGGACAGTTTTCTTTTGATAATAAAAAAAATCAGGAGATATCCATTACCATTTACCACCAAATGAAAGCCCAATTTGTCCTGAAAAAAACAAGGTATAATTCACCTGGATGTATAAAGTAGTTGTGATGATATGTACGGTTTTACTAACATGTGTCAATGTTGCAAAATTGTGCTTAGATTTGTTTTACCCTTAGGCGTGAAGGAGTTAAACAAAAATGTAAGGACATTATGTAAAATTAAACACCTTTTATTAGGTTAAAAAACCATCAACAGGTGGAGCATGATCATCAGACATATACATAGAAAAACATAAAATTGAATACAAGTAATGAGACCTGGCCACAGTAATTGTTGCTGATGTCCTAGACGCAAACAGCGTCACTGGCATCAGCCGGTAAAAAACAACAGCTATAGCCTTAGGACATAAAGGCTAAGCTGTAAACAGTGATAGACATGATGGTACATGGTGTAACAGTGTATATCCAGAGACTGACGCAGTCCTCCATTTTGTTAAGAACCACCATCTTGGCAAAGGGGTTAACCATCCTGACAACATATTTCCTCCTCATTCTCCCCCTCCCCTTCTGAGAGTCCCAGCGACATTTGGCCAGTGTGTATGTGTGTAGGAGTTTCACAGGAGGCCAGGGCCCAGTAGGGGGCTAGGAGCTATAAAGTCCCCAAGGGAGCTGGGGCCTAGCTGTCCGAAGAACCTGTAAAATGTAACACCTCGTATAAGATAAGGCAAGCTTTCCCTGGAGTTCAAGACATTCCAAGGAAGGCGGGACCAGCTAACACTTGTTCAAATCCAGTTTTCCCCTATGTCTCATATCTTGGAATATGAGAGACTTACATAAAAACCGGACATATCGTCAGATTGGCCACGAGAAGGCGAACAGTTTGGTAGGTCACTCGCATTGTCTCGAATACATAGGAAAGCCTAAAAATAGATCTCGTGAACCGTTCAGTGTATAATTTCATAATTCATATCTAATCAATCCTCAGATGTGTCTGCATTATAATCTACCCGCGGGTGGAATGTCACTTGTGCAGATGGAAAGTTATGGGCTAAAATATGAGTTAAGGGAGATTTTGGCTCTAGTTGAGGTATCCGCCCATACCTACACGCCTAAACGGGGTATTGGTCCTTGACTTCAAAGACACCTCCTGCTGTAGAACTACAAAATAAGCTGTCAGGCCTAAGAGAGCTGAGTTGAAGACGTCTCCCATTTTAACATCAATAACACCTGCTCTGAAACTTGGATCTGCTAACCCAGGACTTTGGCAGGTACCTTAACCCTTTCACCTCTCTCTGATATCTCTTTGCTGTGCTGTTGGTCTCTGTATGTTGATATATATATATCTTACTTACCTCTTTTCTGTAAATATTTTTATTGCACCCGTTTGACCTTTTAGTAATAAATCTTCCCTTCTGAAAGTGTTGAACTGTTTCTATAGCCCTTTTTTTGCAGTTTACGAATTCCTGCCTCTAAAGAGAACGCTACTGTGTTTGTTTAACCCTCTGTATAACCGTGTTATGCAGACGATTACCTCAACCATTATAGTGTTATTGCTGAGATTGCCGAGTTTCCTTTTTCTCTGTACTAAAAGGAGGTGGTGGCAGTGTGAAGGGTTAAATTGCATAATTAACCTGACCCAGTAACAATCGCTCAGGTTGCCGGTACATCGATTTTGGTCCAATTAGCTGGAAAATCGTGCTGGGTGTGGCATTGTTACGCACGTGACATCACGGTTTTAGATCGGCTAGTCCTTCGGTCACGAGTTTTGGTGAGAAGGTCTGGGGTCTGACGCCGCGATCGTGACACATAGCTAACAATGGAAA